ATAGGGCAGCATATTCTAGAAATATGGCAATGTGCTATAGTGGCGCTAGAGCGAGACAGAGGAGAACCGAAAGGTGGCGGGTGTTGGGGCGTGCTGGGCGGCGAGCGACAAGTAGGGGGGAATTGGTTGTGGTGAGCGGTGGGAATCGAAAAGTCACGGGGAAAGTGAAATATCTAGCTAGTTAAGGCAGTGCAGTTGGACCATATTTGAAGTGTATTTGTATTATTTTTCGAGATAATATTCATCCGCAGTCTCTGTTCATACGCTACCACCGGTAAGTATTTAGGGCATGTTTGGTTCCAATAAGTCACCTGACTTAAAACCAATGACTTATAAGTCACGCCTGTTTGGTTGTCACCTGACTTATAAGTCACCTGACCACATCTTTCCACCTTGTTTTTTATGTAAAGGTGGTGGGACCCACGTAAAAGGGGGTGACTTATAAGTTTTAACTTGGGGTGGAGCAACTTATGACTTATAAATTGGGTCTGTTTGGCAAAATAAATTATTTTTTTATTTTTCGACTTATAAGTTGGTGACTTATTTGGAACCAAACATGCCCTTACAATTATTGTTTATGGGTACTGTTCACTCAGGAGCACTTTAAAAAACAAGCATTAGGCCACTGTTTATCGACTCCGCGTCTCTAGGAGGGAAGAGCCATCGCCCAACACCTTAAACTCATAGCAGCAGCAGGAGCTTAGCCACTTTAATTATAGGGTCGTGCTATTCTTCATCCTCTCTCTATTTTGACATCATTGTACCGTATTTTTAAGTTTCGTAAATTTTGTCTTATTTTATATGTAAAAGGAGAACGTAAGAAAATATATATTTGCCGTAAAAAATATTTTATGCTACGTAAAATTACGAACGTAAAAACATAGTGTAAAACATACATAAAATGCGTTATTTCTGGTCTTATAACCTATTTTTTTATTTTCTTATACCAAATTTTACGTAGTGAATCAATATAAATGTAACTATTTGTATTTCAAACGTAATTTGTTTATGAAGCGATAGTGATACTATTTGTATTCCAAATGTAACTATTTGAAATCTCAATATATACAGTGATACTATTCATCACCTAAGGTGCAGAATAAGTTATTCTTCACCCGAGGTAATCTTACGATCATTTCATAATTAAATTACATTTGGAATTTAAATAATTATATTCCTATTAATTCACTACGTAAAATTTGGCATAAGAAAATAAATATATAGGTCATAAAACAAGAAAATTTACAATTTATGTGTACTTTACACTATGTTTTTAGTCTGTAATTATACATAACATAAAATATTTTTTACGACGATTATATATTTTCTTACAGTTTCTTTTTACGTTGGAAATAAGACAGAACTTATGAAACGTAAAATTACGTTATATTGATGGTAAAATAGAGGGGGTGAAAAATAACTATATATGAACAAGAGATCAAACGTCTTGATTGCTTGGCTCCATATATTGAGATTTCTATCACATGCCAATTTTGAACTTGCTGGTCCGAAGAACGAGTTTCAACGAACTTGCTCTGTCTATATCTTGAGATCCCAGAGGAAGGTGTGACACCAACGACGGAGCTAGTGTGGAGACGTTGGGTTCAAGTGAACCCAATTGTTTTTCTTCGCCACCTACATATAGGTATGTATTTGCTTGACTTGAACATATAGGTATGTATTTGCTTGACTTGAACCCAA